TTTTTTCAGTAAATGATTTGATCTTTTGACCAACTTATTTTTTTCAAACGAATTTTTGATTTGCAAGACGAAAACAGCAGAAAGAGCAATATTGCAGCAATAAAAACAAAATAAGTAACTGTACGTTTCAGGGGATTTTTTGTCGCAACTTTATTTCTTTCAAATATAAACATTTGATAAAGTCGTGATTCATAGCGGTATGCTTCTTATATATATTTGTTTCGGTTAAATTAGCAGCTCTCGATTAATAATGTGCAGTCTTGTTTACACAGCATTGATACGGCGTGCGTTTTCGTTTGTTTATGTTTACATTTGCTGGCGGTTGATTTTGGTAATGTATTTCATAAAGCAGAAAATGAATCGTATCGATATCGAGAATATGACGGGAACAATTACTTTGAAATCGCAAGCACCATCACTTGTCTGCGTGTCATCTAACGATGAAGTTCTCAAAAAATCATTTGATCAATTATTAATTCGTTCTCAATTGAGTCGAAGAGGTGATAAGTACACAGTCGAAAATGGATCGTTTCGTAACGGTCACAAAGAAAAGAAGACCAGATGAAAGTGATGAAGGTGAATCGAGTGGTGTTTCGAGCAGTGATAAGCGACCAAGCACAAGTAATCAAAATGTGATGGAAAGTGTTGAGCAACAAAAAAAGAAGAATCGAAAATTCAACAGTGAATGGGAAGAAAATTATTTTGTTACGGAGCACAACGGCAAGGCAATGTGTCTAATATGTAGACATGAATTTGCTGAGAATAAAAAATACAATGTCGAGTCTCATTTTAATAAGCAACACAGTGAAATGAACAAGAAGTTTCTACCATCGTCTGAAAAACGATCCACAGAAATATTACGGTTAAAAAGTGCGTTGGAATCCGAACAAAAAATTGTGAAAAACTTTTTCAGTACCAATCATCTGGTTACGCGTGCTTCTTATGAAGTGGCATTCAATATTGCAAAGCATGGAAAATTCTATTCGGACGGTGAATTTTACAAACAGCTGATGCAATCAACCGTTGCCACTTTGTGTGAGAATTTGGATGAAAAATTGAAAGCACCATTGCATGATAAAATGAAAATGTTATCGCTCAGTCATCAAACTGTTAGTCGGCGCGTTGTTGATATTGGAGCCGAGATGGAAGCGAATTTGAAACGCGATTTGGAAGAGTGTGAAGCAATTTCTGTGGCGTTGGACGAAACGATAGATATTTCTGATGTATCGCAACTAATTTTTTAGGTGCGCTATATTAGGAATGGCCAGATTGAAGAAAACATTTTAGCATTGGTGCCGCTTACTGAGCAAACCCGAGCTGTAGACATTTTTGATGCATTTATGGCTGTTGTAGCTCGATTTAATTTGGATTTAAAGAAGTTCGTCTCAATTTGTACCGATGGAGCTCCCGCAATGATTGGAATTCATGCCGGTTTGCATGCTGTTTTAGTGAAAAAGTACATCGCCGAACATATCAACACACATTTTTTTGTCACATATCATTGCATTATAGTAGTGTCTTGAAAACAGTAACAAAGGTATGTAAAGCAATAGCTACAAATACGCTGATTTTAGTTTTTTTTGTTTTAACTGTTGTTTTCAAATCACAATGTTTTGTTTATTTACAGATCATCAATACAATCAGAAGCAGCGAACTGCTTCATCGACGATTCAAATTGTTGACAGATGAATTGAATTCGAAATTTGCTGATATAATGTACTTCAAAAGTATTCGATGGCTCAGTTGCGGGCAAGTGCTTAACCGATTTTATGACTTGCTGCACGAAATACAACTATTTCTCGAAGAACAGAAGTGTGATACCGAATTCAAACAAATATGGACCGTCGAATGGAAAGCACGATTATTTTTTTTAGCCGACATAACAAAACATTTGAATGAACTAAATTTAAAGTTACAAGAAAAAAATAAGTTTATATGGGATCTTTCCAAAGATATTCAAGAATTTAAATTGAAACCTGTTGCATTTAAAAATCGGATTAATGACAAAGATTATAGTTTTTTCCCAGTGTTAGACACAAATCAGTTTAATGAAGAATTCGAACCCGGTTACGATACAGAAATTTTTGTAGAATATATTGATACTTTGATTCATGCGTTCGAGTCACGATTTTCAGATTTCAAAGAATTTCAATTGGCATTCAAATTTTTGAAAAATCCATTCATTTTTGATAAAAACAATATTCAAAATTTATCAGATCTTTTCGGTACAAACAAGAATCACTTGGAATTTGATATTTCGTTGATAAACGAAGAAAGTAGTTTGAAACGAGTGATCCAAATGAAACGAGTGATGCATTGTGGCGACGTTTGCTTTACGAATGCAATTTTCTAGTTCTCAAAGACGTTGTACCAAAATTTCTTTGCATGTTCGGATCCACATACGTTTGTGAGGCTTCATTCTCCAGTCTCACACGTCGTAAAAATAAATACCGCAATGCACTCTCACAACCAAATTTGGAATCTGAACTTCGTTGCGAACTAGCCCAATTGATACCCGATTTTAATAAACTGACAGAAAATAAAGAATGCCAACCATCCCACTAATCACTAATAACCGAATATTCAATAAAAAAACAAACAAAAATCAAATTTTCTTCTGTGTACTGCATTTCTTGTTTTATAAAAAAAGTGGCCATTGGATTGAACGCTTGGCCACTTTTGTGGCCAACGTAAAAAAAAGGTTGGACAGCGCTGTTCTAAGCTGACGTAATTATTGTAGTCATAGTCAATATTTCTAGAAATATCTCTGGTCGTGAACCGTGATATATATAGTTCGGAAAGCTTTTTCTATGTAACTTAACCGGAGAATTAAATGAAGAGATTTGTGAAATAAAATGAAACAGAAAAGAAAAGCTATTCATTACTCAGTTACTTGCAGATGTTAAGATTTGTTCCGAATTGGCTTCCTTACCTTCCTACATTATAAATACAACTCTGTTGTCACAAAAACGGCGCTACAGGATACCTCCTGTGGAAATTGTTCCTGCCCCTAATGATATAACTCCTGGGGTTCAATCCTGGATTTCTTTCTTAGGATTCATTCTTGGAATGTATCAAATCGACTGGCTTGAGTCAACGGAATCGTCGGAAGATAACCTCTTGCAACTGGGAAAAATGCTCAGTTCCTCCACATTCGCAAGCTGTTCATCAATAGACTCCCCCAAAAGAGTTTCCCCCTATTCCGTATCATTTAGAACATATAAAACATTTGTACTAAATGCTACATCGCTTTCACCGACCAACAGATGGCGCTGCTAGTAACAACATCAAGAAAGTACGGACCAATTGAAATCTCTCTCAACACTACACGTTCCTTAGCTTTTTTTTCCGTTGAATTTCATTTGAAATATCATGTATTTGTTAGTTTGATGATGAAAGAGAGAAAAGGAACGTGTAGTGTTGAGACGGATTTCAATTGATCCGTACTTTTTCTAAAACGATGATCAATGGTGGTCGAAATACCAAATCGATATCACTGTTGTAGTTTTTCACACGAAAAAATTTGTTCAGCGGTATAACCGGCCTAGTCGTCTGGAGACGGGTCTCCTGGTACCCAATATTGTGCCAGATCTGGGTTGGCGGGCTAAAATGACATGACTATGACATTTCCAATTTTCCAAAATTCCACTTTGTTTCGCCGCAACTTCATTGCATTCGATACCATGAAAACCAATGGAAAAAAATGAGAAATCACAATCGAAATTAACTAAAATAAAATCGAAAATAAATTAAATTAAATTAAAAATTCCGCAAATGAATTAATTGCTCATTGATTATCGTTTTAGAAAAATATACGGGCCGGCACGGACCAATTGAAATGTTTTCATTAATTGTCGAATCAGTGTACTAAATTACACAATGCTACAGCATTTTTACGCCAAACTTCTGTTGCTAATTTTCTGTTAGTATGGGGCCTTCCAATTCCAAAAAGGCGATAATTTTGATAATCCCAGGCATTGTCGCTGAGCTACAGCCACAAACGTAAAAAAAGTCAATTTTGGGTGTACTCCTCAACGTTTTGAGCCATA